TTTCCCCCCCCCCCCCCCCCCCCCCGCCCCGCCCCGACGACACATGAGTGAAGAGGTGGAATCTGACAATCCGGACGCCGGGGGAGAGAGGGCAAAACGAGTCAAAACACAAACGTTGAAGAGATTTACAAAAAAACAATCGTTGATTTCTGGAGACCGAATGGATCGGGGAGAAGCCAACCATCCAAACGTGTTGGCGCAACCATCCTCGGAGGACGTCATGGAACGTGCCGAGCCGCGGGGCGTAAAACACTCTCTGTAACCTGTACATAACGATTGTATTCATGTCTCGTGCCATATGTGCACCAGGGCGAGAAGTAATGACAGGAATGTGTTGTACATTGAACAGGGAATTCAGCGTTTCAATCGCTTCAAGCAGAGCCACAGAAAACGGAGCGCGAGGCTAACGCAGAAAAAAGAATCCCAGGAATCAAACAGGATGACTACCGACGAAACTAAGCACGCCAAACAAAAACATTCAACACAACACAAAACAAAAGCACACGCACACGCACACCCTAGACCTCTCCCGTTTAGCTTTGGACAGCATAATATTAATATTTTGACAAATCACCGGCACAAACCATCACGTTATCATCACACTACACTTAACAACAACACCAGGACATCACCGACAACTTTCAGCCAGCCCGGGCGGATTGCACCCTCCCCCCGCCCCCCCCCAGGCCAACCTCTTGCGGCATCCTCTCCCGGCGTCGTCCGCCCAAACAAAAGCAAGGGCAAAACACCATAGCCAGCTGCCAGCCCCGTTTGCTTGCTCAGCACATTGGCATCGACGCCTTACAACCTCGCAGGTCGTCCATGCCCTTGCAGCCGTGGAAAAACACGTTCGCGTCGCCCCCCGGGTTGAAGTTCGGCCGCTTGCAGGAGCACTCCCACATCCTCGCGTCCCGCAGATCGTTGAGGGGAAATATCGCCCTGTCCACGCCGTGCAGCCACAGCCCGATCGTCACGTCCTGTTCAAGAAATTCGTGTGCACAAGCCCCGGTCGCGGGTTTCAAGAAAAGGCAAAAACCGGGTTAAATTTACACTGCTGCAACAAGCTGGTTGCGGGTTTCGAATAAAAGTAAGGGCGGGGTAAATTCAAAAGCGAGTCAGCCAGTCGCGGGTTTGGAAGACACGCAACCGCAGGGCTGAAAGCGTCAATCAGCGAGAAGCTGTTTCGGGGAGGGGGATTTAAACGCTTGTTTGCTTGTCTTCGTGGTTTGACCACCGGCTTCCACCCCCCCCATCGAGACGGACGGACAAGAGGCCTTCCATACTCCCACCAGAGACACCGCGAAACCCAGGCGCTGTTAGATACGTTACTGCCGCATTGCCAGCAGGACACGCTTGCCTGTCTAGGACGCGCTATCCGTGTGGCGTTTTGCGCAGATCTCCTGGTAGAAGCGATAACTCTTCCACAAATGCACCACACGCCAACTCTCCAGAACGGCTTCCGTTTCCCCCCCAAAAAATGTGTGACTTTGCGCCATCGCCCCCTGTTCCCCTGCCCTGTATCGTCCTCTATGGTACTGAGTTGAGGCGAGTCTTAAGTCCCCTTCTCGAATATCTTTGGGGCCGGCTATTCGAATTACGTGCTCATGCCTCGCCGTTCTCACGACTCGCGTAAGCATCCCCAAGCGTAGCGTGCTTAATTCCCGATTCTTCAATATTTTCCCCATTCGTCTCTTTCCTGTGGCTTGAGAAGGTTCCCGTACACATTTGTTGTCTGTTTGGTTGCGTCCGATTTCAATCTGGCCCACAACGGTATCCCATCTCATTCAGTCTTTTAAGCAAACGCAACGCTTGGCAATACTTCACTTTCCTCCTCATCTCTGTGGTTGGTTGCTTGTGGACACACTCCAGGTTCTGTTTTGAGCACCGCTGTGTTCTCCGTTGCCCTTGGTCGACCAACTGCTGCCATCAGCATCATTTTTGGTTGCCCTTGAATACAACTGTACGCAATTTGAAAATTTCAACATCTCCCTATATACACGTCCCGCGTACCTCTAGCTCTGATACTAAACGGCATTATAAGAATACTGTTAAAATCCGTGTGTCCGTATGTTGCCTTGCGTTTCGGTTGCACCCCAAGAGAGCAAGCACCCTTGCGGACCTATATCCGAAGGCAGGTGCACATACATGTAGTGGTCTACGCTGCAATCGTTGATTCCTCCTCCCTCCATCTCCATCTGAATGCCACGTGATTTCTTATCTCTCACTGCACACGACATACCATTGGGCCCGTTGGTAGGCCCGCCACATCACCCTCCGCTTGGTGGTGGTGGATTTCAAGGCACACCTCCAACCACGTTTCTAGGTTGCACCCAGCATCACCCGCAAACGTCAGTCCCGATACCGAACCCCCGGCTTGGTTTGATTAGTGATGGTGGTGGTGGTGGTGGGGGGGTGCTCTCTAAGTTGTTGGGTCGTTGGCGGCAGAGCGTGCTTTAAATCAAGGTCACCGCCTCCTAACCTGACATCGAGAGTCCATTTCTTTCTTTCATTTCCTGTTTAACTTTTGTGTCTTGGCCGTGTCCTCTTCGCCCGTGCAACTTCTGCTGTACTGTAGGCCAAAGGTTGGTAAGACGCACCTCGTTGTCGAAGGTTAGCAGCTTGGAGCTCCCCTGGTTGAGGAACTCTACGAGCGGATAGCTGAGGATGTAGAACGCTCCCTGGCAGAGGCGGCGGAAGCAGCGAGCGACAGGAGCGGTAGCAAGTTTGAGGGGTCCACACTTTTGCGGCGGGGCCACGGAGGTGTGTACTTGCGAGAAAAAACACGTCATAAAGAGAAAAAAAGATACGAGAAACTTGGGCAAACAACCGAGCAGCCCAAACTGAAAACGAGGGAACAAGTTTTAAGCCGGTTAAAAGGGAGCTACATGTAGCTGCCAATATCTGAGAGTTGATAGTCGCACGCAGGTTCGGCCGCAACATGCTGGGGCGGATATTTGCGGCTTTGTCTCTTGACCGGTCGATTCGTTGATCGGTGCTTATTAACCTACGCCAAGCTGGGATCATTTGCGTGCCAGGAAGATAGGTCGAATCTCTTCAACTAGTGCGTGTCGGTCATGACAAGGCAGACACTAACATGCTTGAAAACAAGCATGGAGAGAGCGCACGCTATCCAAGTGACGTGGGTCAGCATCAACAGCAACAGCATACGACCCCTGCCAAGAACCCGCCTCTTGACTGGCTTGATTTAACCCCGACCAAGAATGCTACGTACGCATACGTCGATGACAGATGATCAGACCACCAACACAGCTAACCCTCAACAGGAATGCCACGTACGCATCCGTATGTAGTTGACAGATGATAAAGACCACCAACACAGCTCCCACCTGCATGTAGACGGGGTAGCAGTCGAGGCCGTTCATCGTGTGGTTGAGGTACTTCCCATCGTACCACTTCTCGTCCATGTCGACGATGACCTTGCCCACCTCGTCATCCGGGTTGTTCGGCAGGTGGCAGGCCGTCGGAATACCTCCGTAGACCTTGGAGTGTGCGGCAAGATTTCGACATCGTGACTGTTAGCGTGGACAAGGGCTGTGGAATCGATGTTTGGCGTGAATAAAAAAACGGGAGAGAGAGAGAGAGAGAGAGAGAGAGAGAGAGAGAGAGAGAGAGGCGCTAGGATCGGCAGGCCTCGGTGGACATTTTGTTAATGCTTTATACTTGAGTAATAGCAATGACAGCTACCGTAACAACACCAACGACGACCAACTTATTGGGGTCCAGCGACGAAAAGTTACGGGGTTCGAGAAACAAGAGAGCAGCCCGAAAAAGACAGCAGTTACACAAGCAGGCAACGAAACGGTACAAGCGTTAGACCAAAACCAAACACGCGGTTGCAGGTGAACAACGGTAGGGGACCGCCCCGTACGGGCATCAGAGCCCTCGCCCGTCTCACGAACTGCCTCGCAAAGCTATGGCTGCTGCCGCTGTGTTGAGTGCTGGCACTACGTTGAATAAACTACGAGGCTCGGTATAAACGAACACCTGATGAACACCATGAGCAAGTATCACGAAACAGTAGTACCCTCGATCAAAGGCGGGGATTTCTTCGACGGCCGCTACACATGACGAGGAACCGCAGCGTCGACTAAAACGCGTGCGCTACACATCGAGACAACATCTCCTTGCCCCCTGCTCTCCGGGGTGGTTAGTTCGCCGGATAAATTGTAGTCGACCGGGAAATAGTACATCACCTTTGGCTTGATGTGTGCTGGTACGAGGTGCATCTGAGAGGCCGTCCGCCGCAGGCACACGAACGTGTCGTCGTCTGCCTTCAGGAGGTACCTAGGACATAGCAAACAAACAGCGGGGCCCCAGCCGTAACAGCAACAGCGATCGATCAGTGTCGGGTGACGTTCGGAACGAATTATATGGTGCGTTGGCGGCACGCGGGGCGCGAGTGTAAGAGGAGCACGGAAACGAAGGTGGGGGAGACGGAGAACGGCGTAGCCAGGGAAGCCGAAAAATGAGAAAAAGGGGAATATGACAGATACGCCAAGGGGCATGGGGGGCAAGAGGAGGTGGACGTCTTCGAAGAAAGTTTGGTGGAGGACTACTACACATCGTTGTCTGCGTGTGCTTGCTCTAGACCAGACGTCCGCCGTCTGCTCTTTCTCGCGACACTTTGTCCGTCCGCGTCTTCATTTACCACACAGATATTACTCGATGCAGCTTTGCGCATACGCTCTTGATCCACATCTGCGTGTCTGCATTATGTCCGTGAGTCTATCTCACTTGAATCGGACGTGCTTCACTGCCTCCAGCATCTTCTTTGTCTTGGCAGCGATGTTTCGGTAGCCCTTTTCCACCTGCTTGCGGTCCGTGTCGCACAGCAGCAGCGGCAGGAGCGCAAGGTCGATCAAACCTTACCCTGTCTACGACGGCAGAACTGGCCGGTGCTTCTACGGACACGACCCGCCACCATCGCTCTCCACTAAGAAAAAAAACTATGCTACGCGGCATATACATTCACACGTTGTGCTCCATTCGCTCTGATGATACGCGGACACACCTTCCATTTTGCTCCCTCGCCGTGCGTCTAGACTATCGACTGCAGTACTCCGCACCTTTCACAGCACGAGCGTACGCCATCACTCAAAAACAACGCCTTGCTTGTACCACGGGCATTCTCGATGGCAGACACGGGGCAGGTAGGCGGACCAAGCCTTACCTTGACGAACAGCACATCGTCCATGAGATCTCCCATGTCCGCCGCCCCCGGGTGTCCCACCACATACAACACCTGTTCGGTACGGTTTTAATAAAATATGGGACGGGTTACTAACCACACCTGACCTTCGCCCCCCCCCTGTGGGAATAGATCCCAATAGTTGTGGAAGGATACAGAATTGAGTAAATCGCCAGGGGGGGGGAAGAGAGGCGGCGAAAGGGTGGACGTGAAGAAGGCGCGGAGCGTGCGCCCATTTCCTTCGTGCCTGTTTTCCTTGGAAGACCACGGGCCAACTACCTCTTTCGGAGGCAGAGTCGTCCAAGCAGGGAAGTACCTCGAAACAGACCGTACAGTGACGGCGTGGCCACAACACCACTTGTACCTTCCGCGCCCCTCCGCATCTCCCGGGGCCATGTACATGACGAAACCACGTCCAGGGTTGCGGCCACTACTCCTCCTATTGGTACCTTGAATGGCTACCACAGCGGCTTACGCCAAGTCCGGTGATGGCTGGAAACAAAACGCGGGCGAGGGACAGATAAGAACGGAAAACGTCTAATCGCCCCATACCCCACCAAAAAATGTTTTAAGTCTCCTATAACAGCAGTGTCTCTTGTTACCTTGAACGTGTAGATAAACGCCTGCCCCCGCTCGTCTGTTATCAAGATCTGTCCTCCGTACGTGCCGTACATCTGTGGTGTGGGTGGTGACCAAGGATGACGAGCGTGTGGTTCGTTGGATGGAGTAGCAGCAGCGTCCGTGAGGGCAGGGGGAAATAGGGGGGGCTGGGGGCGGGTAGGAGCAAGCTAACCCATCGGCACAAACACGTCGTTCCATCACGGAAGCAGAAAGGCAAACTTGCACCCTGCCAACATTTGGAAAAACCTGACGGTCGACGATTGAAGCTCTTGTGATACTTAGCAGCCGCGGTTGTCCATATAAGCTTTGGCGTGAGGTCACATGCTGTGAAAACATCAACGACGACGACAGCAACCCTTTCACCTTTACCGGCATGTCGCCAGCGTCTCGAGATTGAATAACGCAGAGGGCGTAAAAACCTCTTACTTTGCGCCATGCCCGAGGCTCGTTTCATGTATTTTCTGTTTGTGGGGCAAACTACCCAACAACGGCTGTATAGGAATTAGCGTAGGATTCTTGACTGGATTGAACACCTGTTCTGGGTGGTCACGTTTTTAGAGTTGTCTTTTTGGTTATGAAGACTGAATTTCTCAGCTCAGTTCAGAGGTTCTTAAAAAGTGGCGCCACCCTTCTGTAGCAAAATGCAAGCAAAACTGTTTGTAATCCTGTCTCAAGTCCGAAAGGTCAAAATAAAGCCCGCAAGGTCGATGTGGTCGGTCCAGTCAATAGTCAATGGTGTTCACATCGACGGCCTTTTGAGGCGTTGTCAGCTGTCCTATGCTACACTCACTGCTGTGAGCTTTGGGTGCTCTTTTGTCACTTGGAAGGGAGGGACGATTCTTCTCGTATGTGCGATCTGTGAGAGCCTACAGTGATACGTCCTTTCGAACCGCGGACTCACACGGATCGCTTGGTTCGCAGTGCAGGGTATGCTGCTGCTGTTGCTACAAGTACTCGGACTGCGAATCAAATGTCTCAGAAGAGCGCCCGCCCTGCGATCCGTGAGCAAACATCTTTATCACCGTTTCCCCGTCTTCGTCGTCTTCATTTTTCAGCAGGCATAAACACCACCGCTACCGCTGCCACGGACAAAAATGTACCATACTCCATCGCTTATCACCTCTCCCCATCGAAACGTCACCTTTCGCATGTAATCCCGTTTTGCCAAGGCGTCGGTATCGTCCCCAGAGAACACCACCAAGAGGTAGTCGAAGTACGCCCGCGTGTCCCCTGGCCACGCCACCGGCCAGTCGTCAGAGCGGCCCAAGATCGGACCGTTGTTGTTGTTGTTGTTGTTGTTGTTGTTGTTGTTGTTGTTCCCCCCGACCCCGTCCCCTAATCCCCCCCCACCCACTGCGAGATCAAGACCCCCTGTTTTCCCGCCGCTGCCAAAGCCTGCTTTGCCCGACACACACGCACGAACAGCGAAATGGTCACTTCACATCAGTAACGGGGCTAACTTCTTTTCAGTTCATCATCCCGCATGTAGTTCGTAGTGAGTGCACACATGCATCTGCGTGGAGTAGGAAATGGTTGCACAATAGGTACTAAAGTACATAGTGGTAGCCGGGCACAGCAGTTCTTGACCAAGTGCCTTGCCAACAATCGACGAGATCCAAGACTTTTCGCCAGAGCGCTGAAGGAGCTGGCCACATAGGCTATGAAACACAGGACGTGCGGGGCGAGAGCGCAGTCGTTTCTTTTGCCCCCGTGGCCTCCCTACAGAACTGTACGTGTCTAATTTTGCCAGTCTGTTGTGCCCATCCATGGACATAAGTTTCGGCAAGTACGATTGAACGATTATCAGCACGCTCCAACAGAAAAACTCCTCCTCTGCAGCAGCACGTTTCCTACAAGCAGTGCACAACCTAGCACAGCAGATACCGCACGTCGCGGCATCAAGGATTGGACATTTGCCCAAAGAGTGTGTTTGACATTTTGACTCCCAAGCCCGCAAAACGGTTTTCGTTCTACCGCACCAAATACCAGGGCAGCTTTTTTATATCTTCGTCTACCGCACCCAATCAGAGCAGGTTTTCGTTGGTGCTAGCACGGGACATAACCCGTTAGGTTGACTTCTGGAGAGCCGTCGGCACTGGAAAGGAGGGTTAGGGTGGTTCGTGTGTGCACCAGGCAGAGTCTCCTTCCCGTTTCCCGTCTCAAGGCTATCCCATTCAATGTGCAAAACAAAACAACCAGAAACTTCTCGCAGGTTTGTGACCCCGCCTGGAGCTTACCACCGTAGGTGACGGAAGATACCACACACCCCGGACCGATGTTCAAAGCTCGATTACTCCATGGTGAAGAAGATTCATGTATCAAAACGTTACGTTTTCGGGAAGCTGTCGAACGAGGCGGCTCCAACACCATTTTCGACACTGTACTCTGTTGCTGTGGAGAAATCGAGCTTTCAAAGTGGTCCAGGGGGTGTGATATCTTACGTCACCAACGGCATACCGAAAAGGCGTAGACTGGCGCCCAGAACGAAGTCTTGTCATTGGTCGGTTGGTTCGAGCGCTCGAGCGCTCGATGCTTAACACGTTAAAGAAACACACACACGCGAGCTGCTCAGACTTTTTACAGGTATCTCATGCCTGGTATTCCGCCGCGACCGTTGCATTTGTTCTGATACTGCTGTATACTGGTACTTGTACCGCTGTACCAGTCTCTCTATGTCTTTCCGAGCAGCGGTGTTCGAAAACCACTCACCTCCCAGCGATCCTTGACTTCTCACGAGACGCCTGTCTGTGCTCCTCCCCGAATCGACGTCCCGGTACCACCAGCCCCCACCTCCACGACGCCCAGCAGTGCTGTCGAGCCACAACTGCGGCGGGCCTAGCGCTCGGTAATATACTACCGACATCACCACTCCGAGAAGGCCACCCGCAGACATGACAAATCCCGCCTGCGACCAAACCGATGATGGTCTTCTTGGCTCCCGCCTTCGACCTCCCCTCGGGGAGGAACCCTCACCCATCGTAGACTTACGTAAGTGGGTACAGTCCAGTCGCGTTGGTTGCTGATGTTGTGTATAACGAAAACACCCGGAGTCCCCCGTGTGGAACCCTCTAACCGGGGGGCTCCGTGTTTACCGTGTTTACGGAAGTTGGAGCTAGAGGATATAGGAGGATATATACCCCTGCCCCAGGGTCCATAGCGGCGGGTGGCGGGAGACATGCCAGACCGTAGAGCAGAGCAGAGAGCAGAGACGCCCCACGAGACCAAAGTGTGGAGCAACGAGCAGATAGACAGGCAGAGGCGAGCAACATGAGAGGTGGTCTTCCTCTATTAGTAACACGGTGGCGGGGGGTATTCTTCGAAGCAAAGTATAGTATATATAGTGGTCCGGATATAGTGGCATACTACCGTGCGCACAATATGCCATTCAGGCACCGTGCGCACAATATGCCATTCAGGCAGCGCCACTATTCGGTATGGTGGCAATACCACTAGTTATTGAGTAGCCAATAGTGGTACTATTGACAATTGAGAAAATTAAGCTCGAAATGTTTACGCTGCCGACAGTGTTCCGTTGGATCTAAACCGGTACTATTTCTGGAGTCTTCGTTGTCTCCGTGTTGGGTGTCTTCCACAAGAAGGTTGCGCGTGTAACGTACGTCCGGACAGGATCCAACGTCCAGCTGCAGCATTTTTTTTTTTTCCTAATGTGGTGGAGCCGAAGATAGGACTTGACCCGCTTCACGAGGAGCTCGAATTCCCTCCGCAGCTCCTTTCGGGCGCTCGGCACCATCGCGGTCATCATCATCATGACTGCACACTACACTTCGATCGTCATCTTGGAAGTAGGGCATCTGTGTACATCGATCCGTTGGCACCGCACCGAGGGCCATGGGCGGGAAGGAGTGCTCTGACCTGCAGTCCCAGGCGGTGCTGACTTGCTGGGCCGCCTGGGTCAGTGATGTGCGCTTCTTCCTTGGTGACCCAGATCATCATGAGAGGACCCGTATCCATTACACCGCGTAATGGATACGGCGCGTACAATGGATATGGGTTTGTGTGCAGTCGTCTCCTGATGATGGTCAACAACGAAGAGGCGCACATCACGACCCAGGCGGCCCAGCAAAGTCAACGCACCGTCTGGGACTGACTGACTGCAGGTCAGAGCACTTCCCGCTGGTCGTTGGTGCGGTGCCAACGGCCATTCACGCCTGCGGAGGTAGGTATAGGTGCCTCACCACGATGGTAATGAAGTGAGTGTTCATGATGGCGATCGAGATTATCGGTAGGACGCCGCTCGCTCCAGAGATGTGTGCCGAGAGCGTCAAGAAGAGAGCCTGAGGAGGGAGTTCGAGCTCATCGCGAAGCGGATTAATTCTTGTCTTCGCCTCCGCTACAAACATGCTGCTGGATCCGGAGATAGGTACACACACGCACGACCCCCTATAGCGAAAGCCACTACATGTATGTGTAGTCACGGAATTGAACCTTGAGTGGTTCCACGCGCGGGCGCTGCAGGTGTAAGAAGAAGAGCGCTCTTCTTCTACGGGACCCACGAGAAAGGCGCCCCGCCGGCGGGCGAAGGCGACCACCGTGCCCGCGCCGCAGTTCAAGAACCTCAAGAAGCTGACGTCTTCTTCTCTCAAGTCGCGAGCGGAGAGGAGTTTTTCTTCATAACCTTAGATAGAATTGTTCGTGGTGTTTCGTACATACATGCAATATGCATTGAAAACTCATAAGAAGAACAGAGAATATAACCCACCCTGGGTTAGTTACGGGATACGGGACAGGAGAGTCGGCCTCGCTTTCGGCGCTCTATGTTTCTAAGCCCGCATACATAACACCCATGAAAACGTTCTCCGGTGCATAGGTGTATATCTATGTGCTGCAAGAGCCACCAACCCTACGTACGTCCCCTTTTAACACTGAGTGGACTGCAGATGCTGTCACCGCAAGGTCACACGCGATACAGTGGTAACAGTCCTATCCCGCACACGCCTCCCCTCACGGCCACTTGGCTACACCCGTCACCCCGCAGACAAAATGCCTCGTTGTAGACAACACCACCCCCATTGGCACAAAAAATCATCCGGCGCCGTTCACTGCCTGAAACAAACTTCACTTTGTACACATACACAACAGAACAAGCTCACACATCCGCGGCGGCGAATACGGCAGTGTTATGTCCTATGTAGACATTCCATCAAGGTCACACTTTGGGGCGTGCGTATGTCAGCATACCTCCCCGTCCCTCCGAACTATACCACCATCGCTTCACGCGGAACAGCTTCGTTTGGTGACACTTCAGCACACAAACCTTGTGTGTAAAATTACCACACCTCACTCTCATATGGCAACATTCCGTCCATCACTGATGAACGGCTGTTCCAAGATTTAAGCACCGAAAACAAAACATCGTACCTCTATCTACAACACAGAGTAGTCTGCTGGCGATAACCGCAAATGACAAAAACAACGGCACAAAATTAAACTTGTCTTTCGCACGAAAACACCATAACAAGACAAACACCCCTACTTGAGGTGCAAACCCACACAACCCTCGTCGCTGTTGTCCAGCTGAGACAGACGCCATTCGTCAACCGGCTGGCGCGGTTGACGCTAACAAGACAATACGTTTGCACACACGCAGGAACGCGCACACTCTACGCCGCACAAACACCTCGCTTAATCCCCACGACACCCCACCACACACGACGCCCGTGCCCTCTCGCGGGGATGGGATATGTTATCCCAGGACCCCCCCGAGCGCGCTCCGCATTAAATCAGTCTCCCTTATGCGGGGCACTGTTGTCGTGTACGCCTCCCCTGGAAGACCCGGACGTCGAGCGCACCCCGACCGCCGCCGCCACAAAAGCCAGGGCGATGGTCGTGACCGGCAGCAGGCTCCCGACCCAGCCGGCTAAGCTCCCTTCACCGCGCTCCTTGACCGGGGGTGGCAAGCACGCCCCGGTACCGCTAGGATCGGTTCTGCCGCCAATACCCAGCGCCTTGCCGGCCCCCACTGACTCTTCGCTGCTAACTGTCTCGGCGTCTAAGATGTCTTGCCCCCCGCCATCGGCGGCAACAGCGGGTCCGTCCTGAGGGGTGCCGGCTGACGAGTCCCACTGTTCATCCCACGAGGAGAAACGCTTGTTTCCCTCATCGCCGCCACTCCCATCGTTTCTTTCACCGGGAGGAGAAGCGCGAGAAGGAGACCGGGGGGAGCCGGGGGTCGGAGTTCTCGGGGAGCGTTCCAGGTATTCCTCCTCTTCCGCGAGCTCGTACGCCGGCCGGTAGCTACCGTCGGGCAGGCGCAGAGCCTCGTTTTTGGCGGTGTCGCCCCTCTCCCCCAGCGAGGTGTATCTGTCAAGCCGCGTGGTGTTGTTCGGTGTCCATGTTTAATGCGGCGTGATGCGCTACAAGCATTAGCAATGGCGTGCTGGTGGTGGCGGTTGCACATCGTTTGATCTTCGCACATGCATTTTGTGTGGTCCCTACGCAGCTCTCCACACGCACGATTTAATGCATGCGAACCCTATCCCCAAGGCGCCAATCAAGGCTGCCCAAGAGGTTGCGCGGCTGGAGCTCACAACGGCGGTTTGCGTTGGAGTCCGTCGTACCTGCACCGCGATTTTCCCTGACAGCAACACGGCGTAGCAACGCCTGCTGAGGAATAAGGCATCCGAAATCTAGAGCAGAAGAAGCATCGGCGATCCCTGATGACATTTTGAACAGTTACATGCCGGATAGATTGAACTACACCCAACAGAGTCCATGTTGTTAAACACCGCAAAAACGTACCCTTGGTCGTAGAGGACGCAGTATGGCAGGCCGGAACCCCGCAGGAGACGCCACACGTGGCAGAACTTCCACTCGAGGGCGGGGTTCACTCTAGTAAATTCGGCCCATCCCGGGGTGCTCGCGGTAAACCATTCCATATCCTCGGTCCATGGGTCTCCACGGCGTTGCCCCATGATGACGGCCTATTGTTGTTTGATTCGAAATCAGGTAAGGGACGTGGGTGGTATGACGTAAACGTCCAGAGCAGGCGTGTTTGTTGGGTGTGGCCACATCTTGTAGCATGATACGTTCGAGGTTAATGTGGTTATCGTGGTTTCTTTCACGTTGCCTCCTTTCTCGTGCATTATTCGACCATGCAACGCACGCAGTAGTGCTGGGATACACCTCACACATCACCGACACCTCGTGATTCGTGCGGAGGTTGGTGATCACGTTATATTGTGCGTGTATCGATTTTAAAGAAACACAGTAAGCTTGGTACGGCGCACAGACATCGTGTGTAGCAAGCAACAGGTGGCTGTTGACAATTCCTGTGCGAGTTTATAAACGTCACTCCAGGCGAGGTAGCCGTCCACCCAACAGAAGGATGACATGCACAAAGAAAATTCATCACGGTCGCCGGAACAAGGATCCACCGACTTCCTAAAAAAATACGGATTCAATTCTTCCTAAAATAATATTATCTTGATCATATCAAGCGTTTGTGGGTGATGAAAACGGGTTGGATCAACTGGCGACTACTTCGTCAAGAGTTGCTTTTCGCTCATTCATCGCACCTTGATGCCGTGGGATTCGACGAGGTCTTGCATGCCGTCCTTGTAGGACTTTGAGTACCTCTGAAACTCGAACTGGTACGTCTCTGACACTTGTTGCATGAAGGCGTCAATTTCGGGGAATTCTTCCTTCTCGAAATACACCACCGGAATATGCTGCAAAAAGAAATCAAACATGCGAGACGAACAAAAAGACCCGAACAGAGGGTCGCCTCGTCCGTTAGGGTGGGGAAGGGGCACGTGCTGAAAAAAAGAAACGGCAACAACACGTGCATACGCGCTGTCCAGCATTAGAAATACTCCTCGGTAGAAAACTTGGGTATACGAATACGTCTGTCTCTTGCTGTTGTCTGCACATTAAAAACTTTTCTGCACCAGAACCCAAACACATCCGTTACTCTTCATTGCGGAAGTTTCGTGGCCAAAAAGCAAACAAAAACCAAGGCTAAAGAGAACCAATTCTACAGCGATGAGTCCCACCGTTCGCGAAGAAACACTGTACATCCTGGGGTAAAAGATGCCAACAAAAAAAAGCAGGGCGTGTATTGCTTCTTCGTCCCTTCTATTTTGGACGCCAAGTTTACACCGTTCGGTTCATGTTTGACGCACCACGTTGGGTCACACAGGAGCGTAGGTACAGGGAAGTATGTACATGATCGGTGACCTGAGAGTTTCCACAGTCGCGTAAAGCCGAATGGTCTTTGCTCGGGAGTTGAGGAAAAATAAATACACGCACAGAAAGACTACCCATTCGAGATATACCCACAGTCGAACGGGATGTGGTGAGGTCTTTTTGTCTTTTTATTGTGTTCGACAGTAGCGGTGACAGCTGAGACAGAAAACGTTGACAGCAGTGACGCTATCCACCCTACGTATGTTGCAATTGGTAGAGACACCGCGGAGCTCTGTGTTGGATGTACCAGAAAGCAAACGTCACCCTCCCGTTTGCCGGCACCCAAATATGAGGACATGCGATGAGAAGGGCTTCTTTGTCATCGTATCTCAATGCTGCTATGTATTACGACATCGTCAAACACCAGCGTTCTGGCGTTTGGCTGGCCGCCAACCCGGGTCGACGCCAGATGCCAGACAACCAAAGTGCGGTGGAATGCGGTGGAACATTAACACTCAGGTCGTGATGTTCCGATTCGGCTGCAAAAAAGACAGCGCAACGTTAAGGTTGGTAAGTTGGTCGGTGCTGGCAGTAGCTTCGTGCATCACCGATGCAATAACAGTCTTTCTGTGTGTGTATTTATTTTTCCTTAATAACACGCCAACGTCGCACTTGATGCTTGAGTGGGCATGCCGAAAGCTACTGATGGGTGCTGGGTTGGCGTCGCACACGAAGTCTATTTCGCTACCTACGCTACAGTATGGGTCGTTCGCCGAAGGAGAGAGAGACGTCAGTCAAGTACGTTTTCCTGATTGTCTGCAGGTCTAAACTAACGAGAAACGAAGCGAGGCAGACAACAAGGCCGTTGGTTGCCTGTTGAGGTTTGGAACGATCTTGGAAGGCATACACACACACACGCACACGGGTACACCTTGCTCGCCGAGCTCGTCAGCCGCCAAAGCTCGTCCCTCTCGGCCAGAACGAAGAGCAGCAGATACAGGACCACGCACGCGTCCTTGCCCCCGTTGAACGATATCGCAAGACCCCTGCCCGTTTCGCCGCCGAAGTCATCGAGGGCACGTCGCACCACGTCGAGGCTTTGTGCAAGCTTCAGCTCAAAGTCTCCTGTGGCAGCGGTGGAAGTCTTGTCGAGAGCGTGGAGGAGGCGAGACCGGTTGTCGGTGTTTTGGTCGTTCTTCTCCTCCTGTTGAATCGTCGCCCTAGCAACAGAGCCATCCGATCGTGTGCCATCAAGCATGCTGCTGCTACTCTTCTGCCAACCAGTATGGAGTGGTAGAGTGGCGTACAATCGCTACACGGCGAAGGGTCGGTTTCAATGAAGATGCAGACAAAGCAGGGCTGCGCCAAAACGAGATACTGGAACACATGTTGCAGAACGTGGACACGCCTCCAACAAACTCCGATTAAAAAAAAAAACGATCCGAAAACTGAAAATAATTCTGAAACTCAACAGCACAAAAAGATCTCTCTACTTGTATGCATACAACAAGACCACAACTAACTGCTGTCGTACAGGGCAGGCCCATTCCTTCCGCCAATCTCCGCTTGTAACTTTCTTGGCTTCGTCCCGTTTCCAGACTCTACCAGTCCGTATTCAGATATAGCCGAGATCAGAGGCTGTTGATCCGTGGATGCCACAATGTGCAAATAAATGGCGACGTCGAACCCGCCTTGCATCTTAGGAACCCATGCTCGATGGTGGCCTTGAAATACGGAGCCGGACCCCAAACTTGACCTCTATTCAAGTACGCGCTCGATCCTCTGAAAGTATGAGACCAAAGAAGAAAGAAAATCCATGCGAGGCAATCCTCATTGGAAATATAAAAATAAATGGTGAAATGATGAGTGTGAGTGTGACATGTGAGGATTCGGTAGGCTCGGAGTAGACCCCGGTCCCCCATCCATGTTTATTGTGACCTACAAAGCGACCATATGATGAATAGATGGTGCAGTTTATGCCAGAGGCACCGCCAGTCTTTCTACGAAGTAGGTTTTGTAGGTCTACCAAGTAGTAGGTATTGTAGCGAAGATGGCAGAACACAGCGTAGACATCCCATCCGACCATAATCCCGCCGGATATTGCTAACGTCGGAGGTGTGCGGCGACGAAAGTAGCTCCTGGCATTGAGAAATGACACACAATGTTTTTCGGCATGTTCTTGTCTCCTTCCATTGAGAATTGAGAACTCCAATATTTCTCGTCAAACAAAAGAATTGGACAACGTCGAAGAGTTTCACGTTTCACGGTTATCCATCATGTCGAACGGCGACCACGCTCTTTCGCACGCACTCTTTTTTTCGACCTTAGCTAGAGTATTCGACCAAACACGAAAGTAGTAGTGCCCGAAGCTCAGCAAACAGGAAACAGGTGCACTTTCCGTGTAATGCGTAAATGTAAATGGTTTAGGACAAAGCTAGACTACTAGTCTACAATGTAAAACACCGTCGGTGCAAACTTCCCACTATTCCCCCACACACGATTTGCATCCACGGGTAAATCGGTTTTCGCCGATGCCCGCGATGTTGAACGCCAGCACTCCGAAAAAGGTCACCACTGTGCCGCCCAGCTGCGAGACGCTCATCACCTTACCAAGGACAAACAGCTCGCCCGCGAACACGAGCATTCGCTTGCAGGAGCTGCCTATGGCATGGTCGATAAGGCTGAGGCGGGCCAGAAGGTTGAACGAGGCCAGGTTACAACCGACGACGCAGAGCGCGGCGTTCACGCCGTCCATTCGCAGCCAGCTAGTGGAGAACTCGTGGTTGTTGCTGATTCCGTCACCACCACCACTCTCGATTATTCTCAACGCACTGTCTGGACCTGGACCTGTCCTCTGTAGAAAGTCCATTCTCCTGCATATTATCCTTACCAGCATGAGTCCGACACCGACGACCGTCGCAGCTACACTGCAGGCGAGGAGAGTCTGGTGGGGAGGAGGAACTGGGCTACCCTTGATAGCAACGTTTCGCAGGGCGCTGAAACACACAGCCGTCATGGTGAGGACAGCCAGGGAATTTGAACCGCTGCTACCGCTGCTGCCGCCGCCTTGGTCACTCTTCCGCTCGAACACCAGAAAAAGTGTGCCTGCCACGATCGTCGTGAGCGCGGTCAATCGAAGACCGGAGTAAGTCTTGCCGAGCAGCAGGTATGACAGTACCGTAGCGGCGACAGGCTCTGTCGCCGCACTCAGGGCGTTCGTCGCATCAACTCCGCCCACGAGGACGGCGGCGTTGGCCAGCAGCGTCTGCCCAGCGTGCAAAAGGGCCGCCAATCTGGTCTGGCGCGCGGCCGCGCATCCAACCTGACAGTTTGCGGCCGGGGTCAAGCCTAGTCTTGGATTGAAGTTGAAGTCCAGCCCGGCGAAGAGTCCAAGTAATAGCAAGATCGCAACGCCGGTCGCTCCCTGCAAAGTTAGGAGCCCGACCGGGTCGTGAGTGTGGCTAAGGTATGCCATGCAGTACCCGCTGAAGCCCACGGCCAGAAACACCCATATCGTGAAGTTGAGCACGAGGAAGATCACGGAAGACGTGGCGTCAACACTATTAGCAACAGTAGTCGACCTCACTGGGCTCGGCAGTGTCCACTCAGATACGACGCTCAGTTCGGAATCACTGCTGGTGCACGAGCCGAGTTCCATGTCGATGCTGTCCTGCCCAACAAAACCTGCTGTTGTTGCTGCCACGAGCTTGCCGTGACATTGCCGTCCAGGAAGACGTCTTGGTGGTAGCAAGGCTAACCCTACAATAAGTAAGATGAACAGCATCACAGCGACGTAGTCATCTTTGAACAGCTTGACCGACGAGGTTCCTCCCGTGGCCTCGGCCACTGACAATCTGCTGATCGTCGGCATCGGCATTGACACACTTTCGCCGGTAGCAGTGAGCACTCCTAGCCCGGATGCAGCCCCCGAGGTCGAAATCGGCAGCCCTGCTTCACGTACGAGATCGTGATCCGCGGATTCTTCACTCTTACCAGATAGCGTGTCGGAGACTATAGTCCCGGGGCCAACCGACGGTGGTTCAGCGCGTCCACGATGGTGTGATATCAGTACTTGACTCTCCGAAACCTCCATTTCCTCTCGAATTGTTGGTCGTGCGACAGAGTACAAGACTCGCTTCGATGCATGTGTCTTCGAGCGAGAAACGGCTGCCAGTGAAAGAACACCTGGTTTCACTGCGGTATCAACTGTCGGGCTGTTCTCAGGTACCACGCCAAGCCTCGTACTCTCGTCGGTCTCATCAGCTGACGGCAGCATGCTCAAGATAACGAGACGCTCCGCCGCTCGTGGTACCGATGATGTCTTCGCCGCCTTGATCGATATCCCAGTTGCCGTGGCCAAGGCCTTTTGGGTTTGCCGTTTGGCGTCTTGATTGTCGTTTTCCTGTTGCTCCTGCTCCTGCACGCCAACAATGTCGAAGAGCGCGTCGCGGGCCTGGCGCCGAAAGTCTTCCGAAAACGCCGACAGTCGAGCGTGAATCAAAGCGCGACGGTTTTGATCGGCGTAGGCCCTCCGCACGGTCTCCACCTGCAGATCCACGGCCTCCCGAGTGAGTGTCTCGTCGATGGCGATATAGTGTTCGGGCAGGTGCATGATGTCGACCATGAGTTCGCGAACCTCGTCGTTGCGGACCTTGCTCCCAAAGGCGCCGAAGGTGGGAACCCCCATATGGAGGCCAAGGAGAGCCCCATCAAGTCGGGTCGAGACGATCGCACGGCAGGAGCACAAACGTCCCATGAATTCCGTCGGGTCGAGGATTTGCAGGATTTCGCCGGGGTAGTCGTGCTCCTCGATCGCTCTCTGGTGTTCCTGAAACACGTTGATGAAAACGTCCCCCCGTCTTACCACATGGCCCAGTAGCTGTTGATGCATCTCCACATTGGTCTGCGTGATCGAAGCTGGTAGGATGAAGCAAAGCGGCTGCTGGTGCTCACCTGAAAGTTCCAAGCATACAGGAGTGGGAGAGGACATAGTTAGATCATAATGAGATCTACACGTAGCCTTTTTCGAGGATTTCGCTTGTTGGTGAGAGGGGCCTTGTTGCACTGGCAGTCTTCGACACTAAATGTCTCGTCATGTGTGTCGGTGCATCGAAGGGTCGTTCGGCCATATGAACGAGTGATGACTCGCAGGTACACAGAGTAGTGGGAAACGCAAACAAGATTCTTGACCAGCTTTGATGTTCAAGAGGCAGAATTGTCCCACGTTCAGTTCTTCCCTGGATACCATAAGTCACAACGTTGATGTATACGGCTGTTCCACACACGTGGTCCGGAACTTCGAGCAAAAGCCCTTCATTTACAAGCAGACCAACCCTGCTTGGACCATTTACAAGCAGACCAACCCTGCTTGGACTTTTCCCGCCACGTGGTACCACGAGTGGTTCCCCAATGAATCACGGGCACAACCGGCGGTTCCCCAATGAACCATGTGTGTATCGCACGATGACGAACCTTCGCTCTGTTTCCAGCACGTGCCCTCCGTGTCGGTCAACGTCTCGTCACTCAGGACCGGGCCCCTGACTACGGCGATATCGCCTGGCCGTACGAGTGCCTCCCCGCGCCGCAGCATGCTGGACAGGACCCGCCTCGAGACCGCATCCCTTCCGGGCTCAAACACGGCCGTGTGGAGAAGTACATCGCTCCGTGGCTTCGCCTTGGAGCTGTGTGGGATGGAACGCAAGGTGCGACCAGCTTGGAGCAGGGTGGCGTTTTAATATCCGCAATCCTTAGGTACAACGTGTATGTGCTACGGTGCCTGGTTCCTACCGGTTCTCGGAAAGAAATCCCGGAAAAAGAATCGTTGGTGAAGCTTCGTTTCACCCCCATTGTGGTTGTGCACTGAACTTCATGCCCTGGTACGTACCTGTAGCGTCATATCCTTCGAGATTCCTGATGAACCGCATTTTTGTGTGTAATGATCGCCGTACCTGGAAGCGCTCATCATGACGATCGGTAACGTTAGACGTTCCAAGAGTGTGTTGACCTCCGCAGGAGCGTGCCTGAGCTTGGCGTTGAAGATTCCGCCATCCCCGACCACAAGGGCCTTGAACTTGTTCAACTGTTCACGGAAGGAGTGAGACAAAACAATTCGCATCACCTCGTTTATTGGTGTCTCCGTGCTCCAAGCAAACTTTTTTGTGCTCTTCATGCGATCGTGTTGGATAGACATCTACCCTGGGCCCGCTCTGACTTGGTGGAGGGTTCGACAGCACATATTACGTAGGTTGAGATCTGGTACCATGGCGAGAATCTGCCCGTTTTAGAGGCTGTCTCAGGCGTGGCCAAGCGAGGCTGTAGACCATGCTCGCATGAACGTACAAAGGCCTTCTCACCTCGTCCAAGTAGTCAGCCGTGAAGGGAATCGAATGCGAGTTGTCGTCATCGTAAAGTTTCGCCGTGGATTGCCCTTGCACAGCGCGATTCTCGTCCCAAAGTAGGGAGTGCCAAAAACATTGGCTTGGTGGCGCGACAGAAGCAAGGAGGTGTTCCATGGACGCCGTCTGAGCCCTTTCGCCCATATTGCCTGCGAAGGGAGAGTGGGTGTTGCAGAGAACATGGCTGGGCGGTCTGTTGCATTTTCATGAATGATAACTTTATTCTTGTCTCGGCTCGGTATGCGTAGTGGCGACATAGCTGTACATTGTGCCCCTTCTTCTAGAACTAGGCATGGCTTGGCGGTGCCGTCCTGATGGTATCAGGCGTAGCACCGTGGAGAGAAACGGGTGTTCCGCCTGTAAGCGCCAACGCTGCACGGCGGAGAGCGCGGGTGTACAAGAAGTCGCCACAGCCAAGCACATGGGCACATATTGTTCGTAGACAACCCCTTCAGAAACAGAGAGAGGATTGCCTGCCTGTGACGTCACAACGGTTGAAACTTGCCCCCACAAGTACATCAAGCTTGAGTCAGGAAAGGGGTTGCAAGCGATGAAGGAGAAGCAAGTATGTGAGCTCGACAGGTCTAAAGCAGGTGACAACCAAAGGGTTGGTGACCACGGGCACGTACGCATGGCAAGGCCGAAACTGCCAAACACTTCGTCGCTGCATACAGACGTCAACCGCCGTCTTGACTTGCGCGAGACCGACAGGATGCGTCGACGTCAAGCGTGGGATGCGGGTGATCTCGAAGCTGAGGATGGGAGAGGCTAATTTTGTTCGGCAGCATGATAAGCGAATAGAGGATTTGCGGCGGATAAACATCATAGCTGTTGTCCCATGCGCGTAGGAAGGGCGTACCCAAGTTTTACGGAGATCGTAATGCTATCGTTACGGTGCAGCAGGTGGAAGTGACGGAGGACGGCGCCGCTAGGATCTGTGATTCTGGGGGCCAAAGAAGAAATTGCGGTGTGAAGAAGGGACACACAGGCTAATTCCCAAGCATGTTCCCATGATGTAGGTGGGTCGTATAAACAGCCGCGGCTGAAAAAGTGGAACGGCAGTCCGGGTCAAAGAATAACCAGGACCCGAATGGGAGATGCGGGTTAGATGAGGTTTCTCCGGAGCGGGACACAGTAAACATAACCATTTGTCAGATGTTTCTGGGTAGAATGATGGCTTGTAAGCTTTACACAAGGGGGTTGGGTGCGAGAACCAAGTATCTGTGCTCCAAAAAAACGCCCGCTTCCACTGAGGGCCAAAACCACACGGCTAATGTAGGTGGGGTAGACCGAAACTGGATTGTGCCCGTTGGAATGGGACGGCATCGTCCTTGCTGATTTTGGAAGTGCCCAAGGTTTCAACAGATTTTTCCTTTATTGGGGATCGTGTAGACTATTTCTTGGTGCAATTTACTTTCGTTATGCGTGGAAACCAGCCTTATCTTATCGTGGAGGCGGCGCGTATCTTTATCGTCCTGCTTCCTGACAGTTTCTCGTTGCCGGTGACAGGTCCAGTGGGAGAACCACGAGTCGACAAAAGCTTACGTCATCGTATGCTCAACGGGGATCGTTCTGTTCTATAACAGAGCGTGAAGCAAAACATGTTCGTGCTAACACATCAATCGATGCAGTATGATTGGCGACGCGCGTGATTAGCGAAAAGGCTTGTCTATGGAGGCCGCCGAGGGAAAAATGACAAACGTACAGTATCTACTTCGATACACGAGAGATCAACCTCCCTCGTATTTTGTCGTTTGGAACGCAACACATGATTTGGGTATTCCTTCGTATAGTCTAAATGTTGTATGCAATAACGAATACGCCGATGAATGGCGACGTTTTGATATGGGAGAGCCTCTAGTAGGCTGGAGAACATTGACCTGGTCTGCCGACAATACTCAACGCAAATAGTTTTCGTGCACTGCCTAATCATCGACATTGTCTTCGCACTCACCTCTGTGTACCACCCCGAAGAGCAATATGCACTCTCCCACGTCTGGTCGATCACTACCATCGTCCACAATGCCGGCAACTTGACCGTGAGGGTGAAGAGCTTTCTCATCACTGCCGTGCCCATGGGAATCAGTGGATTCGGCGGCGAGTTTCCCCGAAAGCTCCTTCTCGAAGCTTACAGCTGATGATCGCGAAACCATAGCTGAAGTTGGAGTTGGGATACAACAAAGCACCAGCACGAGGACAGGGCACAGCTGCCAGCAGACGGAGGGCATCGTCCCTTCAACAAGTGGGTAACCCCCCAGTTTTCTCTGCTTGTGACGGTGAAGCAACGCGACCTTGTTGTCTGCTGTTTTCTCCTTTGAAGACACCAGGAAGTTGGTCGTCGGTCTTCCGAAGAGTCAGTATTGTAGCGAGAATGCTGTTCGAGCAAGTAGCTTCTTGCCAAACTCGTGCAAGATAGAGCTGCTACGATGCTGCGAGATGTAGTACGCAGTGCTTCGTAGTAGCATCTTTGCGCCCCCCCATACCTAGAAGGTGCCGTTGGTATGGTTCAACGATTGATTTTTCTACTCTCCGAGCACGGGACTGTCAATTTTTTTTTCTTGTGGTCGGTCCGTCTGTCCTCGTCGAGCTCGTATGCATACATGGAGAAAGTTTTATGACCAGGCGCGCACCCGTGAACGTGTACACTACAGGAGGGACATATGTCATTACTATTGGGATATCTGCGTGTAGGCGGTGTCTGCAATGCGGGGGGAGAAGTTGAGACCGGCCAACGCCTAAAACCTTCACTGCGTATTGTCGTCGACGACGTGCGAAAAAAAAGTGAAACGGCAGCGGATCACCGACGAACAGGCCGACCAACTTGCCCAACGAACGTACAGACGTACAGACGTACAGCATTTTGCGTACGGCAAAGATCGCTCATTTAATCAGTTCTAGATTTGCAATACGTGTACCACAAAGTCTGCATCCGTTACACGTACGTACAGCGTCTGCCACAGCTCCTTCATTGGGCTGGCTTCATTCTTCGTCGCTGTAAACACTCTGCTGTTTTGGCGTCCCTCGACGGTGGGCAGACCTGAGTTCCTCGACACCGTCATCTATAGCAGGCATCGACCGAGACGGCTGCTACGATGGTGGACGAAGGTACTCATCTGCCGGCACCTCTCCAGACTCGCCCTCCTCGTCAGCAACGCTTCCGGCCGGCGGCGTTGCTGACTGCCTTATACCTGGGCACTCTATTGTTCTTGCTCTGCGAGCATGTTGCTCAACCAGTTTCAGCTGTGAACCTGCGATCTTCGCAAATTTCACAAGCGGCGGCGGAGGGGCCATCCGCCGAGAACGGGGCAGCAGGAAACAAGCAGTGGGTTCTCAGACGGCTCATTGTACCCGAGGAGCGCCTTCGCAACCAAAGGGTTAAGGGCACCGGCAGCAGTAGCGTATCACCGGACGTCGGCGAGTGCATCTTGCTCTTTGGAGCGTTTTGCAACGGTGAGCGACAGCGCGCACCTAAATGTACACTCAGTCATCACACACAGCAGTAGGCAGAAGGAATGCACACCTGCAATATCTTTTGAAAATTGATCTGAAACCTTTGTACGGCTTTGAAAACACCATATCGAGCACCTGCTGAGGCGCGATTGGTTCTCTCGTGGCCCGTTGTCCTGCTCGAGACGTGACAAACACCGACGCTGGGAGAGGCGCATCCGACAGTTGACTCTTCATGGGAGTGGCTTTCGTCTTACCCCCACTGCTGTACGTCCTTGGCGATACACTCTGTCGTGTTCGTGACATACTGAAAGAAGAATTACATATTTCAGACTGTGTAGACTGCGTAGTCTATGTATATATGAATGCGGCCGTTTCGCACCTACCTCTACTTACCTCCACTCCCTGTAGGCAACATGGGCGACGTGATCCAGCCGATGGCGATGGAGCACCTTCTCGCTTCCGTCGCCCCGGACCAGTGTTTTTGGTACGCCCACCCCGGGGTAGAGGGCGTTGACCAAGGAGACCGCATTGGAGAGTTCTTCAGCGATAACATCAGCGGTGACTCGTCGCGGTTAATCCACCTTACACCTGACCACGCGGAAAAGGTAGAGACAACTCTTCACGTGCTGTCCTTCGCACCTGTTGTTCTTCGTAGCCTCGTGTTCTGTTGTGCTGTGAATTTGATGCCAAAATGACTAGCCACCGCAACACCCGCGGGTGGTCTGCAGTTCGGTGAGCACCACGACACCCACCCGCAGGTTTGTGTGCTGGAGTTTAAAGAAAACATTGACAAGCAGTTCGCAGATAATAAATCGCGGGAGGCTTGTACTGACGACAATACGATACCATATAACCCTCGTACCAACCAATGCACCAGGTTAACGTGTTCAAGGCCCTCATCATCGGCGGTGGCGGAATATTTGCGGCCAAGCACGCCCCCCTTGACGTGGACGCCTTTGCGGAAAGTCTCACTCTGCCGATCGTCATCATGGGTGTCGGGGCTAACAGGTGAATGGTGCCGGCGGCACGGCAACACACGTGTGTATTTTCACCGTGAAAACACAGACCCAGCAGCGTACGACGAACATGATATCAAGCACGTCATGCCGTACAATTCCGAAGCAATCGTGCTTGTAGACTGACTGTTGCTGGCGATCCTGCACCTGGATGGTGTCGTCAACTCAGCAACAAGTCATCGAAGCGGGAAAAAACAATCGGAGCGGAACAATGATCGAGTAGCGAGATGGCGCCTAAGCAGCAACTCTTACCGACGTCTGGCCACATGTTGCCCACACACGTTTCGTTGTTTCAGTCCCAGGGCGAAGAAGTATGCCACCCTCGTTGAAAAAGCCGTTTTCGTCTCCGGGCGGGACACGGATTCGATCGATGCGTTCTCCAACCTGCTGCGGAAAAGCAAGGGCCCCGTGGTACAGCCAGAAGATGTCGCTCTGGTGAGGGATCCGGTCTTGAGTGACAAGATGTTGACCGACACGAAGGGAACGTGCTGGAAGCAGAGCGAAGGTATGCGGCGTGTTTGATGTGTCTCCGATGGTGGTTGGGGAAGCCCATCCATGTAGTCACCCGTGTAGTTGGACGCGGATATGGATAGGGGGTCGGGAGGGGGGGCATAAGCGCAACACACGGCGGGCGACAACGAAACATGACCGAACAACGAAATTGTGCTGTGTCGTATGTACATGCGTTTGAGGCGGAGAAGAAGCTTCACCGGTAGTTTGCGAAATAGCATTCAGCCCTGTACGCGATAAACCGGTGTTCATCTTCCCTGCCTTTTCCCCCCTTCTTGTGCGCGCATTGCTCCAGGAGAGCACGAGCAGCCGCTTTGCTTCATCTTGCCGGCCTCCAACACAGCGCCCACCATCGAAATGCACAAGCACTTGTTGGCTCGCGTCGTGAGGCCGGGGGACGTTTTCGTCAACGTGTTCCCGAAGCACCAGGACGAGATCCTCGAGCAGCACGACTACCCCGGCGAGGTCCTGCAAATCCTCGATCCTGCGGAATTTACGCAACGGCTCTGCTCCTGCCGCGCCATAGTCTCGACCAGGTTTCACGGAGTAATCCTCGGCCTCCACATGGGGGTCCCCACGTTCGGCGCCTCCGACATGTCGTACGGGAACAAAGTCCCGGGTGTCTTGATCGACACCATGCGCCTACCCGAACAGTACCTCGTCATCAATGAGATACTCACTCGTGAGGACCTGGATCAGGAGGTCGGCATCATTAGAGGGCTGTACGCGAGTCACGGCCGTCGCACGTCCATCCACGCCCGGCTGTCCGAGCTATCAGATGACTTCGAATCCCACGCAGAACATGTGCTCTTCCATGTCCTTGGCGTCGAGAAGCAGGAAAGCCTGAAGAAACAGGTGCAGCATCGGGCGGAAGACTTCTTTTCTGAAGCTGAGATTACAGCCTTTCTGCCGGCGGCCTCCGCGATTGGAGGCAACACCGCGTCTGAACGGCGTTCCGGCTCGAGCGTTCTGCCGAAAAATGACGGTAGCGAGGATGCGGCAGTCATCGCCGGTAGAGCCGTGGTTGTCAAGGCCACCAGTGATATCTCTCCCGAACTAGACACCAAGAAGGAAGAGAAGAAGAAGAAAAAGAAGTCGGAGAAGAAACCGGTAACGACTGAGGAGGCCGAGACAGAGGAGGAGAAAAAGCGAACCGCCGCGGCGATCTCACAGGAATCTCTACCAATGATAGAGCGCGTGGGTGGGACTACGGCTGACCACGCCGCCTCTGGCACGACACGGATCGCCTTGAAACCGTCGATCTCTCGTACGTCTGATGTTATTCAACGTTCATCGGCTGCCAAAACCGACGGCCACACTCGTGCTACCACCCCAAAGACCTCGACGTCCGCAAAGACCAAGGAGAAACTAGTCGATGTTACCGACGTGAAGGCCAAGGAGGCGACGGAGAGCGTTCCGCTCGCGGCCTTACTGCTTGCAAACAGCGGCGTTTTTCGTCGGTCCGTAGAAGAAGAGGCTGGGCCGGAAACGGACGGCTCTAGGGCGTCGGTAGGAACAGACGATCCTTCAGCCGCTGAGCCTCTGAAACCAAGCGACATGATAGTCAAGAAGGGCGTGGTTGCCGACGGGCAGCAGCAGAAGAGGAGCAGGAATGAAGGAACCGCTGCAACAACAATCAGTGTTGACGGGTACCATCGGCGCCGGGAACCCCGAACGATGGAACGAACCGCCACGACCTCAGAAACATCCGTGCCGGACATGGAAAGCGCTACCGACAACGGTGCACCGGCAGCGGAGGGAGCGTCCACGAATGACGCGATCGGAGGCGTCCTGATCGACGACGACTACATGGCTGCCACGTTGCTGCTCGGGGTAGTTGTCGGGCTGGCCTTCTTGCCGTCCGGAGGTACCGCTCGGAAGGCGTCCCACGACGGCCTCTTCGTTGGCGGTGCCGTCGCGGAGAGCGGGCGGGGCACGGCCTCCCGCGCGCCTTGCGATGGAGACTCGCTCACAAGCGGCGGGTCTGAGCTTTGCGTGTGGCCCACGCGCTCGGCCGGTTCGGCGAGCGGGATCGCCGCCACGCCTTCCAGGATGCTCTTCATGCTCAACTTCGCGGGGTGGGTGTCTCTCGCCATCGGCTTCAGCGGCTACGGCAAGGCTTACCTCCGCGACACGCGCGACCCCGTGGGCCTCCTCGTTCTGCAGGGTGCGGTAGGTGTGGTGGTGCTGTGCTCTCTCGGACGCGTGGGAATCCTGGATCTTAGTGCGGGCAAAGGCATGACCCCGTCCGCCGCCCGCCACGCCGGGCTGGCTGCCCTCTTGCACACCGGGCAGGCGCTTCTGACCAACTTCGCCGTGTTCTCGGGCGGGGTAGCCATGACCAACGGGCTGAAGGCCATGGAGCCGGTCGCCGCGGCCGTTTTTTCGTACTTCCTGCTCGGCAAGAAGTGCTCCGCCCCGCGCGTGGTTGCACTAGCCACGATCGTGGCGGGCATTTCCTTGCTGACCTCCAAAGACAACAATAATACCGGCAGCAGCAGCGACAACGACTACGTCCTTGTCTCGGCGGTCTTCACTATGGCGGCCGTGTGTGTCAACGCCCTCCGGAACGTCGTGATCAAGAAGGGCGACCCAATCCCTCCACACCACTCCCTCCTCGCCTGCAGCGGGGCCGCGACGGTCGTCGGTGTCGGCCTTATGTTGCTCAGGTCTGGGCTGCTTGCCTTGGGCGATCACGACCAGGAGAACGGCCAGTCTATCAACTCGGGGCGTGATCCCGGCGCTGGCTGGTTCCGGATGGGCGGGGTGAACGCCGCCCTCTGCTTCGTCGGCTACAACCTGGCCTCGTTCAACCTTCTGGTCCGCCTCAGCCCCGTCGGACACGCCGTGGGCAACTCCTGCAAGCGAATGCTCGTGTTCGCAACCGGCCTCCTGTTCCTGGGCGAGGTGATGACCGTTCGCCAGCTGGGCGGCACAGCGGTGGCCCTCTTCGGAGTGCTGGCGTACAACATCGCGGGCACCTGGTAATACCCCTCCGCCGCCATGGATACGTCGTGTCCGGGTAGCCAGCAAGGGGGTCGCATCATTTGGAAAGTGAGTGGCGTTGTACGTTCTAGTCACCGTCTCATCGGACTACCGTGAGACTTGGCGTGGGCGACAGCAGTCGCGTTTCACTTGGGCTGCAGCTCCTCTAGGATGGTTTTGGGCATGTAGTGGTCGTGATCGTGTGGATAGCAGCATATCCGAGCTGGCGCTCAGCGTACGTCAAATGGGATATAGATTCACCACCCGGGGCTAACTCTAGTAGGGAGGGGGGGGGGGGGGGGACTCATAGTCCTGCATGCCGTAATCCTTTGACCATTGACCTCCCATCCCTACAAAGCCCGGACGGAACACGTAGGGAGGGGGGGGGGGGGGGACCCCTAATCCTGGATTGCCTAATCCTTTAAACCTTTGCCCCCCCTCCCCACCAAACCCGGGAGGGACCCCCCCGGGTTTCCCCCGGACCGGGTCTCCCATTACCCAAGGCGAAACGCCCCGGGGGAATTTGGGGGGCCCCAGAAAGGGGGGCCGCCTCCCGCTTAAGGGGGTCGGGCTCCTGGGGTTTCTTCCCTTGGGACCGGAGAAACCCACCCATGAACTAATTTTTTTTTTGGGGGCTACCCCTTCCCAAAAAAGTTTAAACCCCTGGGAA